AACACGAGTAGCGTAATGCGGATCGAAGAAATGGAGACGAAAGGAAACCGGATAAGTTGATTCCAGCTTTTGAAGTTCTTTGTCATTTTTATAGGTACTGTAACGGTCCGGTGTAGTGCCTGGGAAGAACCTGGATAGCATAACCATGCCACGGAGTTACAATAAATTTATTTTCTAAACCTGATCAAACACCACTTCGCCAAGACCGGGACATAAGCAAACATACTGCATTAAATCTACTCTAACATGAAAACGTACTTCACACGCGCGTGGTTAGGACCTGGGACCGACTCTCAGTCTGACGTAACATTCTCACTTTTGACTTCATATAGAGCAGATAAAAATTGGAGCAACTCTTGATGTTCGTTTATTCAGAACTAGCTCAGATGAGGTATACCCCATTGTTGGTCGCACTGTGAATCAATGTAGTCTTTCATGCTGTTGAAACAGGACGTACATATCTAGCGTTCTATGTGTACTTTTAGCTATAGATTGTCGTAGTTATTGGCTACATAAATCCAGGTCTTTCACGTGAACAGTTTCCTATTCAGAGGGTCCAAACATCGTCCACTGGACTTTTATAGTACGTCTTAAGATGACGTTTACCGACGTTTCAGAGGTCCTTATAGAGCAAGTAGAAACATTACCTCTCTCTCTCTCAAGGTTTGAGATTCTGCAATCACAGTATTTCAGAAGCTTAGAGAAACAAAACAGAGAATTGAAACTAAGTACAGAAAATTACGCCAAAGAAGGATGGGCAAGACATAACGATAAGTACAGAAAATGATAAATAAAAAATAAACAACACGAGTAGCGTAATGCGGATCGATGAAATGGAGACGAAAGGAAACCGGATAAGTTGAATCCAGCTTTTGAAGTTCTTTGTCATTTTTATAGGTACTGTAACGGTCCGGGGTAGTGCCTGGGAAGAACCTGGATAGCATAACCATGCCACGGAGTTACAATAAATTTATTTTCTAAACCTGATCAAACACCACTTCGCCAAGACCGGGACATAAATCTACTCTAACATGAAAACGTACTTCACACGCGCGTGGTTAGGACCTGGGACCGACTCTCAGTCTGACGTAACATTCTCACTTTTGACTTCATATAGAGCAGATAAAAATTGGAGCAACTCTTGATGTTCGTTTATTCAGAACTAGCTCAGATGAGGTATACCCCATTGTTGGTCGCACTGTGAATCAATGTAGTCTTTCATGCTGTTGAAACAGGACGTACATATCTAGCGTTCTATGTGTACTTTTAGCTATAGATTGTCGTAGTTATTGGCTACATAAATCCAGGTCTTTCACGTGAACAGTTTCCTATTCAGAGGGTCCAAACATCGTCCACTGGACTTTTATAGTACGTCTTAAGATGACGTTTACCGACGTTTCAGAGGTCCTTGTTGCCTCCATCATCAGGGCGATGAGTAACTCCGAAACGTCGGTAAACTGCTACCACGGCGCAAGAACCCAGAAGACAGTCATCTTCAGACTCACAGCCATGAAAATCTCAGATCATAAATATTAGGTCGTGATGTATGTGACATTTCTTTCAATGGGCTACAAATATCATCTTTCAGTTTGGCCACATTAATTATTACTGTTATTTCTTTTCAATTCAAGTAATTTTATTACTTTTGTATTACGAAGTTATTTTGGGTTTCCTTTTTTATGTTATTTTCAACTTTTGTATTACTTTTCGAATTGTTATTATGTTTATATTAAATATATATTAAATCTTGTCCGTCTAATCACAATAAATTCTTATTAAATATTAAAATATTACAATAATTAACATTTAAAATATCAAATAATGTTCTTTATCGAAATATTCGATTTACATTAAACCATCATTTTTCACGACATGTTTCAGTTCCTAAAAGAACTATCGATAAAGAACATCATTTGATATTTTAAATATTTTAAATGTTAATTATTGTAATATTTTAATATTTAATAAGAATTTATTGTGATTAGACGGACAATATTTAATATATATTTATTATATCACAATATGACGCAACTTTACCATCTCATGTTATTATGTTGTTTACAATAAAATGTATTTAATGTTGTTTGAAAATTTAGTTTCTTAATTTTAGTAAATATAATAATAATAACTTAGTATTAGTTGGGGTGGAGGATAATGAGTCACAAAGGATGCTAATTATCATACAGGTACTCACTTTCTGTAAATTTAAAAAAGTTATTAAATTTTAAAAT